ATGTTTACATATGTTATCCCTGACTCTACAGTGTCTTCGTTATGAGAACCTAAACAAGCTCCCCTCCACCCCTATTTCCTAGTCCCTTGTGATTCTCCTGAAATACTAATCTGGATTTATTCCCTGTATTCAGTGTTGTAAGCTCTTTAGCCAATAGGATTCTCTCTTTGTGTTTCCTCCTACAAACTTAGGATTCAAGACGGGGCCCAGCCTTCTAACTATGCTTCCCTTCACCCCAGAGTTTCTTCTATTTTCAGGTTATCTTATCTAGAACGTACTTTGTGTAGACACCCCTAAATCTATTCCATTGTAAATTGTAGAAAGTATGGAAGAGTCAATAAAGAGTAAATTAATCTATCTTCTAAATCTCTTTAAAAGAATACTATTTTTATTTCCACAAGTTTCACTCTTAAGTAGTTAAACTAGTTATTTTCCCTGGGGTTAGGCTTAAGGTTATAGTCCCTTATTCAGGATAAAAATCAGAAATGTTTATAGAAAAAGCTTTATTTCTGGCTCAGTTATGTCCATTGGTCCAATTTATTACCCTCAATACTGAACCCTCAAGGGCTGCCTTGACCTTTACCTTCCTGGCAGCCTGCCTCCCCACTTTATCCCTACAGTCTCATGTCCATTCTCCCAGAACTTACTTCCAAGGCCACTGCTTCAACCCTGCCCTTACTCAGAGCTTATCTAGCTGGGTGTTTCAGTTTTTGATCTCCGAAGCTAATGGCCAGTCTCTTGGGCCTGTCTCTTGTACCAGTCTCATCTCTACCCACCTCAGGATCTTAAGACCTCCACTATCTACCCTCACAGATTCATCACTCTATAACTCCAAGTCCTTCCTTGCCTGCCCCATCCTTATGTATCTTTGGCTACCTGTCTTTTAAACTAGAGGACCACAGTCCAACTCACATCAGCTTCCACTTACTGGATTTATTGAGGCATTTGTTTTTCCCATAAATTCTTTTTTTTTTTTTAATAAAAATAATGTCCAAAATCACCGTAAAAAGCTTTGGAAATTCCATGTATTTGGATTTCACACAAAAAGAACCCACTGTAAGCTTTAAAAAAATATTACCACATGTGTGGATGTGTGTTGTGTTCGAAGTCTGGTAGAATTCTGCATTAAAACCGTCTGGCCCTGGCCTTTTTTTTTGTTTGGAGGCTTTTAATTATTGCTTCTATTTCCTTAGGGCTTATCAGTCATTTAAATTGTTTATCTGATTTTTATTTAATTTAGGTAAGTGGTATCTATCAAGAAATTTGTCCATTTCTTTCAAATTTTCCAATTTTGTGCAGGATAGGTTTTTGAAGTATGACCTGATGATTCTCTTTATTTTCTCAGAGTCTGTTGTTATATCCTCCTTTTCAGTTTTGATTTTGTTGATTTGGATATTCTATCTCTGGCTTTTAATTAGTTTGGATTAGGGTTTATCTATTTTGTTGATTTTCTTAAAGAGCCAACTCTTTGTTTCCTTGTTTCTTTGTATTGTTCTCTTTGTTTCTATTTTATTGGTTTCAGCTCTCAGTTTGATTATTTTCTGCCATCTACTCCTCTTAGATGTGATTGCTTCTTTATGTTCTGGGGCTTTCAGGAGTGCTGTTAAGTCACTAGTATGAGATCTCTCCAAATTTGTCACGAAGGCATTTAGTGCTATGAACTTTCCTCTTAATACTGCTTTCATTGTGTTCCTTAAGTTTGGGTATGTTGTGCATTCACTTTCATTGGATTCTAGAAAGCCTTTAACTTCTTTATCTCTTCCTTGACACAGTGGTAACTAAGTAGAGAGTTATGCACAGAATACTGTGAATAGCTTAATGGAGAACATGATGAAGCATGTAAGAGACTTCAATCATCTTAACTCAAATTACTTTTGAGATCTCCAGACTTCATAGTGTATAACAGGAGAATGGGATCTTTTATTCAATACAACAAATAGTCTGTTGGCAAGCCAAGACAGTTTATCATTACTTAGTTTAAAAGGTATGCACCAAGGAGAACACAAAACTGACTGTGAGAAAAACGCAGAAAGATACTGCGTGTGTGTGTGTGTGTGTGTGTAATATATACACATATATGTATATATATACACACATATATACACACCTATAGTTTGGAAGGAGAATAAGGTCCCTGTTATGAATATGAAGAAAATGACAAGGTCAAATTCTTTACTCCAATATAGCAAAGAACATATATTTGGAGCAAGACTGGGAGAAGTGTTGACCATCTTTTCCAAAATTCTTAGATAAGGAGCAATAAAGAGATAGATGCCAGGGTCTATTTTGCTTGAGAACTAGAAATATTAAGATCTCACCCTTTAGCCAGACTGGCAGAGAGAAAGTTCTACAAAAAATCGAAGGGAAAAAAGTTTATAGTCCTATAATGGACAAAGAGGACAAACTTACCTGGCTCAAAATGCAAGCCCACAGAAGTCAGACACAGAGTAAACAAAGAAAAAAAACTAGATAAATACTGATCTGTAAGAGTTCTGTGCAAAGGGCAAAGTTGTAACCAGAGTGTTGTTGAATTACAGCAGCGAGGACCATGTGGAAGTGCCTTTGAAGAAACCTCCTAAAGACATCGCAGAGCAAGCTAAGAACACAGGGGAGAATAGAGAAGTGTAAGATAGCAAAGCAATAGGTATATTTAACCCCATTTAACTAAGAAGTTCAGAGGGAAGCTGATACTATTTGAATTACTAACAAGCATTAAGTGTCACTCCCCCACCCCCATTTTAAAATTGGGGTAATTATAAAATTAAAAGTAAAATTTGTAGCTAAACGTATATAAATAAAATCAGCTTCTATATGTTCTTGTGGATAACCAAAGTGCTGGTTTATTTAACATTTGATTTTTTTTATGGTGGCCACATGAAAGGAAAGAGGGTTTGTTTTACTGCTAATGGGATTCTTGAACCACTTTGGAGAGCTGGTTAAGGCTTGCTACTCAGAATCCAACACACATCACTGTTGCTCTCAACCAGGAAGTCCAAGTTATTTACAATTTATAAAAAGTCATTTCAGAATATTTGTATAGATCTGAACATCATATTTGTGCTTATAACATATCAGTTTCAGCTCTGAATTGCTTATTAATTCCTCTTGAGAGAAACTGTATACAAAAAAGGACATCAAGGTACTTAGCATATTGCCTTTTAAACTGTTAAGTGAGGCCATTTCCTTCATATTCCCTTTGGCCTTTACAATTGAATCTCCTTTTCCTTATATAGTACACCTCATGCCCTTTGGTATAATTGCCAATGCCATTTTCCACGGTTGGAGCACCTTTGCGTTTGCTGAATGTAGCGATTAATGGCTTTTTAAAACTCATTCTATTTCAAGACATTTTCCCTTTGGTTGTGATAGTGAACTCTCTTAACACATTGCTTTTACACAGCTAGTGATTACAGACATGTACATTATGTGTATGTATGTATGTATGCATGTATGTATATGTTTATCTGGCATATTAGTTACCATATTTAGGATTAATATTATTATTATTATTATTGATGAGAAGACCTGAGTCTTTTCTGAAAAACACGGCACTCTTGAATACATCTGACTAAGATATAGATGCACTAAAAGTAAGCTCATTTTTTTGTATTAATTGTACTGATAGTGACAACACAAATTCACCATACCTGATTCACCATATCTGAGTAACATAAGTATATAACTCAGTATAATTATGTTTGGTTAAATCTTGTATTGTTTCAAATTTGTAAAATCTCAACGCCTATTTTTTTTTTTTTGGTCTGTTAGTTCACAGTTTAAAATTGCTCTTAAACAAGAGACACACATTTCATACACAGTCATAAATCTAATAAAATTGTACAAAGATAGCCAGATATGGTGGCTCACACCTACAGTTTCAGGACTTGGGAGGCAGGGCATCAAGACTGAGGCAAGTTTGAGGCCAGCCTGCTGCAGAGTGAGTGAGTCCCAGATCAGCTGGATTACAAATTGAGATCCTGTCTTTAAAAAAGAAAAAAAAAATGCACAGAGAAACATTTTAGTGGTTTTCTGTTTTAATGCACTTCCGATGGTTTTCTTTAATGACAGGGTCATCGGCTTTGAGACATTTAAAGCAAACTATTATTTTATTATAATTCATACATTTAAAAAATTGCCAGGAGGTCAGACATTTTCAATCAGCTTTTAAAAGTAACAAAATCTTTTTTTTTTTTTAAATACAAATCAGATACTTGAAGATCTCACAGGCCTGTCCAGTTTCTTCAGTCATTGTGGATAATCTTTCTTGACAACTGGTACTATTCACACTTCTCCAGGAATAGCTGCATTCCTTTTCACCCTTTTCTTTCATGCTAGCTAAGCTGCCACAGCTATATGGCATACAATGTATACATTGTACACAGATAATACCATATGTACATTACACATGAGGCATTAAAGTGTGTCCTATTGCCCTTTGATTAAAGGGAATGTCAAAAATTAGTAAAATGATACTGTTTGATTTTAAGAAAGAAAGGTTGGGTGAATCCTTTGCACCATACTGCAAAGTTACAGGTTTAAACAAAAGTTACAATTCAGTGTTTGAGATCATGCTGCAGAATGTATCCTAAAAGAAAAAGAGAAGGAAATACAGGCAAGCCATCTTGCTGCATGGTGTGCCATATATGTGTCAATGGTCTTTTTATATATAATTGCATGATGAAAGATACAGGTAAGACCCAGACTACACAGTTATTATAAAAAGTTATGTATTATGCTTCAGTACTAAAAATAAAATATATTCTCAAATAGTGAAAATAAGATATCCTTCATGTTTTTATGTCACATTTCCTGTTTGCCCACCCCTACACCTTTAATGAAATAACGTCCAACACTGTATTAAACAACGACAGAATGTGGGTGACTTCTTGATTGTTATGGGCCTAAAACAGAACAGTGATTACCCTGTCAATCTGTTGAATTACCTTCTTGATGTGTTTAGTGCACGACACAATGTAAAAGTAAAAGCCAAACACCTTACAGATAAAACCCAAGAGTTCATTGGTACCAAATTACAAATACGTTCTGGATTAATGAGTTGCTACATCTGACAGCAACTAAACCATCCATCATGCTATCCCTCCCCACCTAACTGTGAGCCATCAGTCGTGACTATTTCATAGGTAAGGAAGACACCAAAGGGTTTTCTGAATCCTTCTCAAGAAAGGGATCCCATCACAGCCAAGGGCTGCCTCCACAGACCCGCATGTAGCAGTCACTGGTGTGGCCCAGAGCCAATGGCTTCACCATCCAGTCCTGGGAGACCAGGACCCATCCAAGCAGGAGGGCGGGGGAATGGACCTGAGCTCCTTCCTTTTCAAACATAAAGCAAACCGAGGGTCTCTAGACACATCAAAGGTTTATGCGTTCTTTTGGATTGGAGAAGCAGGCACTTACAGTGAACACAAGGGGAGGCATGGCAGAAGGCGGGGACGACCGTCCAAAAGGAACTGCGAGCTAGTTCAAAGGCTGTCGCCCCCACCGAGCTGCCCAGCCTTGAGCCCAAAGAAACAGAAAAACACAAGATCCCCAGGGAGCGAGAGGGAGAGGACTGACCCCCAACCCAGGCGCGGGGCGACAGGTTGTGCGGGGATGCTAGGTATGGTCAAAGGCAGTCAGTGCGGCCGCCAACACACCAGCTGTTGCGTGCCACACGCAACTCCCAGCCTCGTACGGCCTGGGTGACCCCTGTCAGGCTCCCAGCGTTCAGATGAGCGGAAAGCGGCCCTGGCCGCCGTCGGGGTCCCCGGCACTGCCGCCTCGCGGATGGCCCAGCACCGACACGGGCAGCACGACCTCCGCAGGGCTGAGCTGCTGCAGCCGCATGGACTCCTCATAGGTGGGCAGGTACTTGACCTCCTCGTAGCTGGGCAGCTGGAGGAAGACCGGCGACACCACTCGCAGCTCGTGCTCTGAAACGCAGGAAGGATGCAGACGCCCGCCACTTCCTCGGCCCCGGCCGCCCCCACTGTCCAGCAGTGAGTCCTGAGAGCCCGCGGCCACCTCGTCGCGCAACAGGGCAGGCGAATCATCGTCGTCGTCGGGTGGCCCCGCGGTCCCCGGCGGCCCGGAGTCCCCGGCAGGCCCGGGTCGTGCCTGGCCAGGGCGCGCCTGGCCACGCGGGTACCTGCGTGGGCTGGGGCAGATGATGCGCTGCAGGAAGTAGCCGATGGCGAAGAGCACCAGCAGGATGAGCAGCCCAGAGAGCTTGCGGACGAACCAGCCCACGTTGTCCAGGAAGGCGTGGAGCGGCAGCTTGCAGCAGCGCACGGCCGTGGCGTTGGCCGAGTCGCAGCAGCGCTCCCGCTCGCCGCATGCCAGCTCCGCGCAGCCCCCGCCGCCCCGCGAGGGCGCCACCAGCGCCAGTGCCAGCAGCAGCAGCAGCGGCAACAGCGGCGGCGATGCTGGAGCCACCGACAGGCCCTCGGCCGTGACCCCCGGGCCCCACATGGCCGGTACAGGCCACCGCCGGCGTCCGGGACAGCGAGGTTCCGAGCTCCGTCTGGCAGCGCGGCCGGGCGCTGCGATGGGTCCCGCGCGCGCCACCTCCCGCGCCCCGGCTACCTGCGGCCGGAGCGGTGCTCACTTGGCCACGCTGGGGCGGGAGGAGGAGCCCGGGGCGCGCCGAGGCTGCGGGAGGCGGCCACTGCTCACTGCCGAAGCCGCCTCGCGAGCTTGTGACCTCGAGCCGGGGCGCCGCGGCGCCGGGGTCCCCGGAGAAGCGTGTGGAGTCGCGGGAATCAGCAGAGGTGGCCTGCGCCGGGTCACTCCGGGCATCTCGGCCGTCGCCGGCCGCGCTCTTCCTCCCGCACCTGGGCACCCCACGGCGCTGGAAGGGTTAAGGCTGAGCTCTCAGCCCGGGAGCCCCTTGATCTTGATTAATTCAGCCTGCGCGCTCTTCCCCGCCAGACGGGCGGGGCGCTCTCTCTCACTAGCGTAGGTGTCTCAGTTTTAAGTGATTGGATTTTCCCAGGAATATTATTTAAATTGACTCGCGACCGGGTTTCGCTTACCATCTTTCTTGCGCTCTTTCTATTAAAAATGGATGATGGCCATTAACGGCCAATGCAGCCCCAATGCTGCCCTAAGGTTCCGGGGTGGGAACTGCTGGATAGTTCTGCTGACAGGTAGGTCCAGGTTGTTGGGAAGCTGGGACCCTAAGAAACTCCAGAACAGGTAAGAGAATTCTTTGGAGAGGCTCAAGTTACAGCCACAGAAGTAGCCCCAGAGGGACAGAGAAGCTCTGACTAGAGGTTACCCCAGCTCACCTAGGAGAAGGGAAAAGACCCTTGTTTCTCTGAGGCTTACCGGACCCAGCCCTCCGCTCCACTACGCCCAAAGTAGAGAGCAAGGATTTGAGTTGCAGGATGCAAGGAGCCCCCTCTGGCAGCATAAACAGCCAATCTGTGATGGCGGAGGGGAGCGGTAAGAGGCTGGCCAATTTCCTGAGCGAAATGTGAAGGTCCTTTTCAAGGTTATTCGTTTATAAAGTCTTACTTTAAAGGAAGTCAGCGTTTCCACTTAATACTTGGATCAGTTTACCTTCGTGCTCCCAACCGCCAGGGAAAGCCTCAGCGTACTCAGACCCAGACCCCCATCTGTTGGGTGTTGGAGGCCGGAAGAAGTCACTTTGATTGAGGCAGTATAAAACAGACCCACTGACACGGGAAGACTCCCTGAAAAGAAAAACTAATGGGGCGCGGGGGGGGGGTGTGTTTCAAGGTCGTGAGAAAAAAGTCAAAGGACATCAGAGACTAGACAGACTCAGCTCTGAGCCAAGGTTTCTCTCCTGAAAAGAGAAACAGACCAAGACTGGGATGGGTAGGGGGTGGGGTTGATGGAGATGGGCCATGACCCAGCCTAAGTGAAGACTCTCCTAGAACCTCTTTTGGTGGGAACTTCAAATGATCCTTTCACCTCCTGGAGAAGTGTCTCCAGGTCACTCAGACAGGATGCCCCTGAGCACAGGGGTTTTCTAAGTCTTTGTGAAGCTGAAGCTCTGGCCATGCTCTATCGGGAGAAATGAGCACTAGTCCAGCACTAGTCCCTGAAGCTTAGTTGACTGTTTCCACCTATAGCCAGGTAGGCAGATGGAAGAGATTTGTTTGAGTGACTGCCGGTTTGTGCTGTTTTCTATTTCCCCCTTCCTTAGCAGAATTTACACTGACACTGTATACTAAGTATATTCTGTATTCAGGAAGCCCTGCTGGATGCTCACCATAACTGATAGAATAAATTTAAAAACAAACACCTACCAAAAATGGAGTTCTGCATACCCTTTTCAACTGAACAGAGGCAGGATGAGGTTTCACAGAGAACAAATGCCAGATGTCTTCCTTCTTCATGACTTCACGATAGTCTCTGGGATAAGGCAAGCTCATGGTTTGAGATGGGCTGGGAGTACAAAGTGAGAGAAATGCAAGTCTCTTCAGGCTTTTAGAGTCAGAGGTCTTGGGATTTCTGCCAGCAATATAGGAAACAATGGCAGAAGGAAACAGGGTGCTGGGAGTTTTGTGGCTGATGAAAAACGAGGGTGGCTGCTTGGTGTTTTGAATTTTGAAACAAAAGTACTCAATTTAAAGTTATATTACATATACTTATTTTGGGGGAGGGTGCCTATTTGGGAATCTTATATAAATTTTATATATTTTGGGGGGAGGGGGCCTATTCTCTCCTTCCCCCATGTAGGTCCCAGGAATCAAACTCATGTCTCTGGTGTAAGTAGCAGAGTTTTACAGTTCGAACCATCTCACTGGTTTCTACACACAGCATTTAAATTGTTTCATTTGTGTCTTCTTTTAATGAGTTAGAATTTGTTTGCAGAATTTTAGGTCAGTTAAAGAACACAGGCCTGCTATAAAATAAAACATCAAGAAGTCTTGCTTACAGGAATAAGCTCTGGAAACTAAGTATGGGCTGGAGTTTTTATTTCTGCTTTCCAAACGGATAACCCCAAAGCATCGTCCATTAGATCCCTCTACAGAAACTCATCATTCTCAGAGTGTTCACTTTTACTTAACCCATCTTTATTTGCAGTGTGATTTATTGTATACAACCTTTTCATGGAAAGAAAAGAAATTCTTGTGCCTTTAAAACCTCACAAGACGTAGGTTCATTATTCAGATTCTTAAAAAACAAAAACAAACAAACAAACCTCTAACATACAAATAGAGCAAGCCACTTAGTGAGGAAGATGGTAATTACATGTTTCACAAGGAGGAGTACATTTTGTTAAAAATTGCACCAGATTGTGTTAATAAGCACATATGAGGGGGGGAACAGATAGTGAAACGTAACCTTCATAGTTTGAAAGTAATTGGCCCCCATAAATTTATAGGGAGTGGCACTATTAGGAGGTGTGGTCATTTTAGAGTAGGTATGGTCTTGTTGAAGGAAGTGTGTCACTAGAGATCGGGCTTTGAGGTCTCTTGCTCAAGCTTTGCTCAGTGTGACTCTGAGTCTACTTCCTGTTGCCTGCAAGATGTAGGACTCTAAGCTCCTTCTCCAGTACGACATCTGCCTGCACACCACCATGCTCACTGCCATGATTGCAGCTGTGATGATAAAGGACTGAACTTCTGAAACTCTGAGGGAGCCCCTCAATTAAATGTTTTCCTTATAAGAGTTTACATGATCATGCTGTTTCTTCTCAGGGATAGAAACCCTAAGACAGGGTTTCTATCCAAAAAGCATGGTGTGTTGAAATATAGCTTGATAAAGATGAAGAACATTATGGGCTGGGTATATGGCTCAGTTGGTAAAATTATTACTGTGAAAGCATAAGAAACTGTGTTTGGATTCCCAGCAGCCATGTACAAAGCTGGGTGGGTCAGCATATGTCTGAGGAAGAGGAGAAAGGTAGAATCCACAGGTTTGCTAGTCACGTAGCCAGGTTAAAGCTCTGGGTTTAGTAAAAGATTCTTCCCAAAATTAAAGTGGCCAACAAATAAGGAAGACACATGATGCCAACGTATGGTATACACAAATGAATGTATACTTACATACAAATGCATGAACACACACACAAACACACACACACACACACACACACACACACACACACACACACACACACCAGGCTGGTCACAGTAGCATCAGTGTTCCTGGAAGCTGTCCTTTAATAGTTTGAGAAAAACCAAGTGTATCCATCAAGAAACCCCTTCCAGCACATCACACTGGGACAGAAGGACATTTCCTCTCTTGTGTCTGCTGACCAGGGGATTTTGTCTTCAGGCCTGAGATACAACAACCCTAAACTTTTCATGGTCCTTCTTCAAAATGTCTAGGCATGAGTGGTTTGGAAATATAAATGATCCAGTCTGTAAGAAGCTCTTAGCATATCCAGCATAGTCCTTCCTATTGATATTACATTACTGCAATTGGTTTATTAAGTATCCTCCTTTTCTGGAGTTCTTTAACTTGTAATAAATCTTCCATGAAAACAGTTAATTAAGAGTTTTATGTATATTTGCATCAATGTGCCTTCCTGGAAATGATTTGTGACCTGAGATAATCTGCTTTGGAGTTTTTTTTTAATTTTTATCATATTTCTTCCATCACTGACTCAATAAATATTTAATGTTGGCCCTTCTCTGAGCTAGATACTCCATCCCACTCTGGGGATGTTATGAAATCAAGCCCTTCTCTGTCTTCTGGGAGCTTATTGTAGAGGAGTTAGGACACAACAGAAAAACAGTCAAAATGTTGAATTGACATCCCATTGATGAATGCCTATAATGGGACAGTTCGAAGTTCTCAAGGTTTTTACACTGGCCTGTTATGAAGATGACATTGGCTTGGAAGACCTCTGCAGAAAAGGCCTTTAAAACAGGACAAAAAAAAAAAAAAAAAAAAAAGCAGGAGGCAGGAATCACTAAGCAAAGGAAACTTTATAAAGAGAAGTCTTCAGGTGGCAAGATCCTTTGTGTCTGGTAAAAGCAGGGTAGAGGCATTTGCCCACTGTAGGTTTTAGGTAACCTCCCCTACTACCAGACAGTTTTAACCCAGCCTGCTTTCCCCCAGAGGTCTTGGTGACTGTTTTAGTTTCCTAGATCACAGGGATTCCCTGTTCTTCCTGTCTTTCCATCTTTGACTTGGGTAGAATTTAGTTTCCTCTTTCAACGTTATGAATTCCCAAGTAGCCAACAAAAGGCTTCTTCAAGCCACATGCTAGGAGAAAAATCAAAGTCATATGCTTTGGCTCCTCTGTTAAGGAAACAGTGTTCTTCCCGGATTGAAGGTCGAGAAATTACAGGCCCATAGGAACATAAGGGTCTCACTGAGTAACCACAGGTTGGCCTTAAGTTCACATTTGTGTTTGGTTTTAGTTTCCCAAAGAACTTTTATGTACATTATTTTATTTTTCTGCTTATTTAATGTTTTATGAGATAGGTAGATTAGTATTATCCTTTTATAGGCCAACGTAGGTTAAAACACCTGAATTGGACTGGGGATGTACTTTATTGATGAATTACTTGCTTAGTGTGTGCTAAGCTCAGGATTCAGTCCCTAGAACAAGAGAGAAACAGATGGATGGACAGATGCACATATGAATCATAGAATAAGTTAGTGACAGTACTGAAAGTGAAACCCAAGGCCCAAGTCTAAGTCTCACTAAAAAGGCTGAGTGGACATCTCATCCCCAATGAGTTGGCCTAGTGTGGGGAGGGACAGTGTT